TATGCTTCATGATATAAATGCTATGCTGACAGCCTAATCCTATACATGATAACAAGTTCTGTGTTGAGTTGTGCCCTCAAATATAAGTCAGCTATCATGGTGATTTTGCAGCTATAAAGGTGTGTAATGCTTGAGTTGAGAACTATGAGCTATAAATAAAGGATTGTCATTGTATTTGAGTCTCCCCTAAATGAGTAGTGCTAAAATAGCGCAAAATAGTACTACAGTAGTGCAAAATAGCGAAAATTAGAGGACCACATTTGCAGTAGTGCTATAATAGTATCATGTTGGCACTATATGGCACTATAGAAAAAGTGATAGTGAAGAGTAGTTATAACTAGTACCAAGTATACTAATTAGTGCTTAGTTGCACTACTGAAGAAGTGTGTCTGAATAGTAGCTCTAATGTAGAGGTTATCTCTGCTAACACTTGCTAATATAGATGAGATTATCTGAATAGTGATAATTAGCGTCAATTCGCAAAGGCTGTTTTTCCAGATGATACAGTATACACGTGATCTAGCGCTTATCGTACAGGACTTCGTGCTCTATTGGAATTCAGCCTGTCTCCCGCCTCTAGGAAATCGCCCCCTCAACTCGAGATGACGGTGGGTAGGAGCCTGCCGCATATGGTGAGTGCCCCATCAGATACAGTGACCGCATACAACAGCGCACCACGTGCAATAAGCGCCCAAAGCACATTCTGAGCCTCATAATATACTAGGAATGGTAGGCTACATAATACATGAGTATAAGGGTCTTCCGCCGAGAAGCACGACAGGGAGAGCCGCGGTATTCAGAGGCTCAGAATGTGCTTTGAGTACCCTGATAACAGAGTTGCATATTGCTCAGCCACATCACGACATGCTACCATCCATATCACTGTATGTACAGTACGTAGATGCCTCTATGCATATATGCCAAATAGATTTCTCCTTACTCAAGTCTGGTTGCAATATGAGGGAAGGTTTTAATCGCTCATTTTAGCACCGATCATATAGTTGGGTTCCCACCCTTCTCGGCCAGTGCCATGGTGGGCTAAGCTTGTAGATACCTACACCGCCAGGCGACTCCAGATATTAAAATGGTCTTAGGAGGCAACCTTATAGATCACGTATGTCCAATATCATAAGACCGAGATGCGCGCCATACGGGATGGGTATCAGCCGCCTATATTGGTGCCACATGGTGGCTGACATCGATGAAGTCTCATCCCATTGTCTCTATGATACTTCCTCTCTGACATTGTTCTCATACCGGGCTCATACTGTGATGATATCGGGAACTGCATCAAGTATATGTCTGAGCACGCCATCGCCTCTCGGCCAATCTTTCCGCTTTCCGGCGGACACGTGAAGGTTTGGGCTTGTTGCGAGGTATAAAGTTTTCGACGACGTCGGACTTATGACAAGAATCATCTTTGTCCTCACCATCCTCGACCTTCACTGCACCTGTGGTCTACCTGCATCTCCATCCCTTGGTCCAGTACGGTTCGTCTCTGCCATCATTCTCTATCCCTTGCGTGTGGTACGCCCTTTAAGGCAGTTGCTCATCATTCTGTATAGTAGTCAATTGAGGAGGAAGATTCGGTGATTCACATCGCCTTTCCTTTGGTATGTTTTGCCCTTTGAATCATCTTGATCCACGCAGGACTAATGTGTTGTGCAGTTAGTGTTGTCTCAGTATATGGGGCCAGCAGCCAAGCGGGCAGGCTTTGTGACACGCAGGAGTCCGGGGTTGGTGTCGTCGAGCAGGTGAGTCGAGCAAATCGTGTACGTGCTTTTGGAATCCCTCGATTTGTACATCTGCTGACCAGCAACATCGGCTGCCAGACTCGCCATGCTCACGCAAGCAGGACAGCGGGAAGGAGACAGAACAGGAGGGCGTCCGAGGGGACCAGGTATCGTGTTGGGCCAGTATCCCATGTCGTTCCGTGTAACACGCATCCTGTACATATTATGTAGTCTGTAACACGCTCAATATATTCATATTTGAATTCTACACCTATATGATTCGATGGCGATTATTCGAACATGAGGGATTGTGGGCGGAAGCTGGCGTAAAACCCGGCAGCTAATCAAACGGGCGCCATCGGAACCATGTAGAGTCGATAAAGGGGAGAACATGGACTATAGACAG